ATCCCCTAGCGGAGTCCCCGTACACCTGACTTGTTTATTTATTTACGGCCGGAGCATGGGGGCCCGGGGTTAGTTCGGGTCTGTTAAGTTTGCTCCTTTTCCTGCCGGGGAGCGAGGTAATGAGTAACCATTGCGTGCTGCAGGCAGCTGTCTCGGACAGACCCGGAGCCGCTGGGGGAGCCGCATAAGGGAGCGTTTGTTCTGTTCCTTCTCAATAGTTCCTTGTGCAGGAGGCAGGGTGATGGGAGGGAGCGAGCCGGCGAGGGAGGGAGAGAGGAAGAAAGAGACAGACACTCAATCACTGCACTTGTGACAGGCCCTCCCCCATCCTTCCCCTCCTTCCCCCCATTATCAGGGACTTAAGACTTCCAGACTCTTCCCGCGGACTCCATGGACCCTCAGACCCTGGCGAGGTGCTTTTTCGCTGAGGGGTAGATGCCAAGGAGCTAAGGGCCGAGGGGTCACCTCGGGCGGTCCGGGGGCCCTGGTCCCTCTCCCTGTGCGGAGTCACACCAGGCTGCTTGTTTGCTGGTTCCTCTGAGAATCCAGTAATCCTCTCGGCATCTCTTCCCAACCCCGAGTGCCTGGGTTTACTGAGATGTCTCCCGCCAAAACGTAGAGAAATGTAGCTGGAAGATGGTTGCTAAGCAGCACTCTTTTTTTTTTTTTTTTTTTAAATCCTCTCCTGATTTTAGAGAGAGGAAGAGAAGGAGGGAGAGGAAGAGAGTAGAAACTTCGATTGGCTGCCTCTCACACACGCCCAGACCAACGACTGAACCCCAAACCTAGATAGGTGCCCTGACTTGGAATTGAACCTTCGACCTTCTGGTGTAGGGGATGACACTCCAGCCAACTGACCCTCATCGCCAGGACAGTATCATTGACCGAATGCACACCGACTGCTGTTCTGTCTCATAAAAACTTGCCATGGCATGCATGATTTCTCTCTCTCTCTCTCTCAATAAGGAGGTTCTTTAATATATATATATATATTAACTAATATATATTTATTTTTATTGATTTCAGAGAGGTAGAGAAAGAGATAAGAACATCAATGATGAGAGAGAACCATTGATCGGCTGCCTCCTGCACACCCCCTCCTGGTGATTGAGCCCCCATCCCAGGCATGTGCCCTTGACAGGAATCAAACTGGGGACCTTTCCGTCTGCAGGCCGACACTCTATCCACTGAGCCACACCAGCTAGAGCTGCAGTGGCTCTCTTTATCACATCCTCTGCCTTGTGGTTGGGACCTGAACTTCTAATTGCAAGTGATAGGCCCCCAGATGGAACCGACATGGACCCAAAGAGGAGTTGAGCTGAAGGATTCTGGGGCAACAGGGAACCCCCAAATGAAAGAATGAGAGGGGTCCATGTCCCGAGCACACCTGGAGCCTCCTCTCTGCCTGTTAGCTCTCTGCTCCTGCTGTCGATCTGCTTCTTCATGTGGCAGGAGGAGCGCTATTGGCAAAGGACGGAGGCCACCAGGCAAACGAATGCTCCTGACTTACTGAAAACCAGCAACAAGCGAACCACCGTGGCTCCCCAAACGCCACGGGGCATATTCCCCCTGTAACAGACAGAAGCGATCAGGTAAGCAAACACGTACATTGGGTAATCTGGTACGTTCCTGTGGTTGATTTTCTTACGTGACATCAGCTTTGCATTCCTGGGATCAATCCCAGTTGGCCATGGTGTTTGATCTTTCCAGCTGCTACTGGATTTGTGTTGAGGATTTTTGCATCTGCATTCGTCAGGGATGTGGATGGGTAATTTTCTGTGTCTGTCTTGTCTTGGCAACAAGGTGGTACTGGGTATTGCTGGGTACCAGAGGAATACCGGCCTCACAGAATGCATCTGGCAGTGGTGCCTCCTCCTCTATATTTTTGGGGAAGCTTTTGTGAAAGATGACTGTTAATTCTTCTGAATGTGGGGTGGCGTTCATGCGTGAAGCCATCTGGTCCCAGGGTTTTCTCTGTGGGAGGTTTTTATTATTTTTATTACTAATTCGATCTCTTTTCTTGCTATACGTCTAGTTGGGTGTTGCAGTTCCCGGATAATTTTTGAAGATAGATAGGCTAAAGGTTAGTTTGTGACGTGAAATGGGGAGTGCTTTCCGATTGAAATCCCGGCTGTGACTGTGCAGAGTTTGCAGTGGGCAGGGCCCTCCCCGCCGGGCTGAGGTCTGGCCTGCGAGGGCCCGGAGACGTGGAGGGAAAACCCATAGGTGGTGCCATCGGAATAGCTGGACTAGGTTCAAAGACCACATGACCTCGGTCAAGTTCTTCATCCTCCCTCAGCCATCGTTCAAGCAGGGAGCGAGGGAGGGTGATAATGGCTCTGCCTCATGGGGTGGGGGACAGGCATGGGTGTGCTGGGCCTCCTCTCTGCCCCTCTCTGCCCCTCCTGCTCCCACCTCAGGGAAGGAGGAGGAGGAGAAGCACTGATGAGGTAACCAGGAGGCTGTGGTCCCGCAGACAAAGGCTCAGTGTTCCGGCAGCGCTGTGAGCCTCCTCCTTGCTGGGGGCGGGCGGAGGAGGCCGAGGGTGGGGCCCGGGCATTTTCCCAGCCCTGCTCAACCCACCATCTCCTCCCTCCCGCCATCTCCCTCCCTCCCGCCATCTCCCTCCCTCCCGCCATCTCCCACCCTCCCGCCATCTCCCTCCCTCCCGCCATCTCCCACCCTCCCGCCATCTCCCTCCCTCCCGCCATCTCCCACCCTCCCGCCATCTCCCTCCCTCCCGCCATCTCCCTCCCTCCCGCCATCTCCCACCCTCCCGCCATCTCCCTCCCTCCCGCCATCTCCCACCCTCCCGCCGGCTCCCACCCTCCCGCCGGCTGGCTCCCAGCAATGGAGGAAATGGCTCAGTCGAGAAGGGAGGGCCTCTCAGGTGAGAGTGGGCCCACCTGGACCTGTGCTTTTGAGGATATTTGCATGACAGAGCTTCCTGCCCATGCTGGGAGGGCTTCCGATGAACCTGTGCACATCCCAAACTCTACCTCCCCCCCATGCACCCCGGTGCCCTCCCCCAGCGCCCCACATGATGCCAACGTAAGGCTGGAAAGGATGGATGTTTGTTCAGAGGCTCCCATCACCGCCTAAGGGTTGTCCTTGGAGGATTACTCCCCGGGCCCATCTGAGATGCTCCTGTGAGGAGGGAACAGGCCAGGTGCGTGCGAGACAGAGCAGGAGGCAGAGCTGCCCCAGACAGGAGGCAGCACTTTCTAGAATGGCCCACAGGGGTGGCGGTGGCCAGGGAGTATTGGGCGATGCAGCAATTGTGCACGGGGAAGATGCTGTGGAAGCATCCGGCATCTTACTTCTCACCTCTCAGGGGTCCTGTGAGCGTCCGCTGCTCCAGAGCTGGGCACAGGGCCCTTAGTCCGTGCTCCACGGACTCTCGTTCTCATCCTTTGCTGAGAAGCAAGCTTGCTGGAGAGGAAGCCACCGTCTCATGAGGCGAAGAAGAGAGAGTCCCAGGCTCCACTGAGCTCTCACCTGTGAACGCTCACACTCAGGATGAGCCGGAAGTCTGAGGCCTGGCTGGCCCTTTCTAGACTTCCTGGTAGTGAGGCCCTCACTTTCATTACCTGATAGCATTTAAACAGATACTTTTATTGATGTCAGAGAGGAAGGAAGAGGGAGAGAGAGAGAAACATCAATGATGAGAGAGAATCACTGATTGGCTGCCTCCTGCACACCCCACACTGGGAATTGAGCCTGCAACCCGGGCATGCACCCTGACTGGGAATCGAACCATGACCTCCTGGTTCATAGGTCGACTCTCAACCATTGAGCCACGCCTTCCAGGCCCCTTTCCTTCTTTTATACCCTCAATGTTTCCTCCACACAGACAGCTCTCTGCCCTCCTTTGTTGGTGGTGGTGGTTTGGGGGTGTGTGTCTTTTAGGTTGTTATTCCCTACCCACTCCCCCTGCAGACTCAGCACAGACTCACCCTCAGGATGTCCTGACTGATGTCCCCAGGCAGGGCTAAGTGTCCCAGGTCTCCACAGTCTGACATCCACACAGTGACCAGGTGCCCCTCCCCCTCTCACTGGGCTGTGAATTCCTTGAGGGAGGACTTCCGCCTTCCTGCTCCCAGTGTGTGTGGGTGTTGCGGGTGCTGGGGGGTGAATGAATGAGGCAGCGGATGCAGAAACGGAACCTGCAGTAGGGCAGTGGCAGCTCCAGAATGTTCCTGATTTTTTTTTTTTTTGAGAAACAAAAAGGGAGAGAGAGAGAGAGAGAGAGAGAGAGAGAGAGAGAGAGAGAGAGAGAGAGAGGAACATCGATGATAAAGAAACACCCATTGGCTGCCTCCTGCATGCTCCATACTGGGGCATGGAGCCGGCAGCCCAGGCTTATGCCCTGACCAGGAATCATACCAGCAACCTCTTGGTTCATGGAACAATGCTCGATCCAAATTGCCACACCGGCTGGGCTTGCCTTTTTTTTTTTTTTTTAAATTTAATTTAATTTTTATTTTTTAATTGTTTCATATGTCTTCATTGATTTGTTTTTGAGGGAGAGGACAAGAGAGGGAGAGCTTTAGCAACATCGAAGATAGAGAAACATCGAACCAGAATTTTAATCCAGGAGGGTCTCACGGTGGCGACCGGTTTGTGGAGTCACGAAGCCAAGTGTGTTTAGCAAGCCTGTAGGGAACAAGGGTGAGGCGGTGCAGTTAGTGGCTGGCGGAGTCCCGGCTGGTTTCTCTGACTCGGGAGGCTTGCAATCCTGGGAAGCATCTAGGGGCCTGGTGCTGCCCACCTTGTGCACAAAGACCAGCCTGGACCTAACGGAGCTGACGATGAGGCTGGAATCTCATCGAAGGGAGGGATCTGAACCATTCCTACCTGGCTCAGGGCTGTGCCTAGGAAAACAGAACTACATCTCCCAGAAAGCAGTTCGGCCCCATTGTAGCCCCGCCCCACGCCCCGCCTTAGCCCCGCCCCCTGGACTGCTATATAAGGGCCGAATGGCCAGGCCCCGTGCAGAGCGCAGAGGCGGTGCTGCACGTTGTGCACCTTCAGGGCCGGCTGGATGGGCCACCGCTCCGCACTCCTCCACCCTCCTCCACCCCGAGGCCTCCCCTGACCCGCGGGCGCCCACCTTAAGCTCCCTGGGCCCTGCAGACCTGCACACCCGAGGCGGACGGCGGATTTGCCTTTGGCTTTGCCCCCCACCCCCGGACTTGGCAGAGGGGTTCCGGCGGGAATCCGGGCTGGCGCTGGCGATGCGCAGCCAGGGAAGGCGAGGCGTCCCTTCGGGGTGCTCTCCTGGAACGAGGAGGCGGGATGCCCTCGCTGGGGTCCGGGGTCCCAGGGGCCCTTTGCACCCGCCGGAACCGTGCGCCCGCCCGACCCGGACCCGGGGACGCGGCCCTGGGAGCCGCGGCCAGTGACCTCCGCGCCCTCGCCGCGGGTCCGAGCGCAGGCAGAGGCCGGCCCGCAGCTCGCTGACCTTGGATGCAAAGGGGGCCCTGGGGCGGGTGCTCCGGACCCCTCCTGTGGATTACTTGGTGTGGATCGGCCGGGCTCAGAAGACCCCGTCACCGTCCACGGATGGATTCATTCTGCCTAGCGGTCGGGTCGCTCACCTGGAGGTACGTTTCCTGGCGCTTCCCCGGGGAGAAGTTTGTGGAAATGTTTCTGCTGGTAAATGGCATCTTCTCCTGGGGGACCTCTGAGCCACCCTGCTGTCTCCAGGCAGAACCGATGGCTCGGGTCACGGTGGTCCTGGCTGCCCCCTCCCCACCCCGCCCCGGGGGCGCGCTCAGCCTGGGGAAGGGCTCCGTCTGGGCGCCCTGCGCGGCTCCTGCACTTGCCTTGTTGCCTTGTTGCCTTGTTGCCCTGGCGGGGGGCGGGGGGCGGTGTTATTTGGGGAGCGGAGCCACCTCCGGAAGCTCCTGGCATCTGGCCACCACCCACTCCGAATGCGGCGGGGCCAGCCCCTCTCACCTGTGGGCACAGAGGACCGTGTGTGTCTGGGTGTCCCCGGTCGGCTGGCTGGCTTTACTGCAAGGACTGGGTCCTCCGTCAGGCCGACGCTGGATGATGGGGGCCGGACTCTGAATGGGTGCAAGGCTGCTGGAATTCGGTCCCCTGCAGCCTTCCCCCAACTTGTTCATGGAAGAGGTTTCCTGGCTGCCGTGTGGAGGGGGCTTGTCTTGAGTCCTGAACTGAGAGCAAGCCGCTGGGTGTCCCGGTCCCCGCTTTCCTCCTTCTTTTGTGTCCCCCTCCTCCTCTCCTCCCCTTCCCTACTCCCCCCCCCCCCCCCCCTCCGCGTTTGGGGCAGCACGGTGCCTGTCCCTGGGCAGGCCAGGCGGAGGTGTTCACTGAATGGATGGCCAGGCCAGGGTCTGCTGTGTCCTTCCCCCTCCTGTCCTCAACCCATGTGGGACCCCCTCCCGTCTCCCAGCCCCCCTGGCAGCCTGTCTGTGACCATCCATTTCCTGCCCCAAAGTCCCTCGTGCCGAGAACACTTCTGGAAGCCGCATTGGCATTGGTCTCCTCACCAGGTGCCCTGGGTGCTGTTGCCTCCAGTGGGCAGCTGCTGGGGCGGGGGGGGGGCAGGCACCCCAGAAGAGGAGAGGTGCCCCTCCCCCAGGAGCCCTGCCTCTGGCCACACCAGGTCCCTGGCACTGCCCAGTTGCTGCAGCAATGGTCCCTGTGACTGCCCCCCTCCCCCATCCCCCATCCCCGAGGCCTGCCAACACTTCCTGGGATGGAACCGAACGGTCCCACTGATGGAGGACCCCCTGCGCACCCGTGCACCCCGTCTGATCTTAACCTCTTTTATGGAAAAACGACAAAAAAGTGTAAAAAGCAGGAAAACCCACCCAATTCCCACAGCAATGCTGGCAACCAGGCACACTCCCTCCCCGCGGGACCTCTGCAGTGGACACAGCATCGCTCCCCACTTTCCCCTGCCCCCCTCGATTTCCCCGGGACGGCTCCCCACGCCATGACTGCCCTCCTCCCTCCGCCCCGGGTACTGAGTCGCAGTTTGCCTGACAATTCCCCATTGTTGGGCCCTCGTGTTTCCGGGTTTGTACCCGGAGCAGTAATGCACCGGGGAGGGGAGCACTCTGTACAGAAGGATCTGCCCGCCTTTGGGACATGCCCCGAAACCGCTGCCTTTGCCTTCAGTCGGAGGCATGTCGCCCTCGGCGGGCGGGACCAGGTGGCTTTCTGGGAGGGAGCACCCCTTACCCGTCAGGGAGCCCACGTCCGGGAGCCAGAACACGGGGGCTTTTTGGTTTTGTTTTTTTTCTTGCAGCAGAGAGTTGATCAGCATCGGCCTGCGATGGGTAAACATGTGCCAGTCACGTTCCTGAGCCCACGGGGGAAAATGCACTAGGCAGCTGGACTCAGAAGGCTGTCGCTGAGGACAGACGCTGACTTAGATAGAAGCCTAGGTTTGCAGGAACGTGGCGCTCACAGGGCCTGGGTTTCCCCTGGACCCATGTCCAGCTTCCCTAAATGTAAACATGCACAGCCCGTGCTCATGCCCAGGTGAACTCCATTACCCATCAATCCCCGGCCTTGCTCGCGGGCGCCCACTGTCCCACTGACGGTTTGTGTGTCAGGATCCTGCAGTGCAGGAAAATCCTGCTGTTTTGTAAAAAAAGGGGGGAGAGCTGAGAACCGTTCAGCAGACCCCTTTTTTATTGAGGTACGACCCACACCAGAAGCTGTCCCCGTTTGAGGTAGAAACCGGGGGAGTCTGGGATACACACACGCACCCCGCCGAGAAACCCCGCCGGATGTGCTATGAGCACAGTCATCACCCCCAGGAGTTTCCTCCCGCCCACGGTATCATCATGTTCATGTGTGTGCGCGATAAGAACCCTTCACAGGAGATCTACCCTCTTAGCAAACGTTTGCGTGTACAATGCAGTATTGTTAACGCCGGGCGCCGCCGTGGGGGAGTCTAGGGTTTATCCCAGAGAAGGCTTACAGCTGAGAAACCCCTCGCCTTCTTCTCCAGGTCACCTCCCCCTCCTGCCTCTGCAGGGCCAGCAGGGCAGAGAGACCCCCTCCCCCCAGCGGGGAGGGGAGCAGAGCATCCCCCGGTGCCCGCCCCCCCCTCCCCCCCCTCCCCTGGGAAGGAGCCGTGTAGTGAAAACCGGGTCACAGCCCGATCTGTCCCGACACGTCTCCCGCGGGGCGGGCAGACAGACGGGTGACACCTGGTGTGCGTGAGAGCAGCGAGCCGCCGAGCCCGCCGCTGCCCGGCCTGCGTGCCAGGCCCGGGCGCTGACTCACGCCGAGCGAGCGGCAGGTGTGTCCGGTGCTCGGCGTGCAGACCCGGCCAAGAGCATTTCCTGGTTACCTGGGCAGAGGGAAAGCAACACGGGGTTCCGTGCTCACCTCGAGTGGAGGCCGGGGAGTGTCGATCCGGGGCCAGGGGGGACCCCCTTTCCTTCAGGGGGGTGGGGGGGACTCATTTTCACCAAAGAGGGGCGAGGAGAGCCAGCCCGGTGGGTTTGGGGAAGCGGCCGAAGGGGACGGAGTCTGGCCTGGCGGTGAGACTTTGCAGGAGAGGCTTGTGAGAACTCGGGGAGACCAGGAAAGAGGCTCTTGTTCTGTCCCCCCCCCAGCCACCACCACACCGGGACCCCACGCGTCTCCACCTCCCTCCACATACACCTGTGAGCTCCGGGGGCGCCAGCTTCGAGTGGCCGCCACCGACGGCGGGCGATGTGTGTTTGGGAGGAGGAAGTTTTGAGGTTACTTAACTCTCAACAAAACAGACTTCTGCTGTCCAGATAGAGGGTCTCTGTTACGCGAGGGTCTGGTCAGTGAAACGCTCCCAGTCTTCCTCTGCCGGCTGGTAAACGGGAAGGTAGCCCCGGGTCCGCTCTGGCCTCCCAGCTCCCCAGCTCCCAGGCGGTTTCTGTAGCCAGCCCGCCCCAGCGCGGACCACACCAGGAAGTCTCCGTGGGAGAGGGGTTGGGGATGTTGTGACGGATCGGCTCTGGAACAGCCTTTTCTGGCTGCACCTGCCGTGCCCTGCTGGGGGCCCTACCTCCTGGGAGTCGCCATTCTCCCAGATCCACGTGGGTGCAGTTCAGACTGTATGCCCAGCGCTGCTCCACCAGGCCCCCCTGGCCTGCAGATTGTTGTTTGCAGAAGAATAGATTGCTTGCCCTAGCCGGTTTGGCTCAGTGGGTAGAGCGTTAGCCTGTGGACTCAAGGGTCCCAGGTTCGATTCCGGTCGAGGGCATGTACCGTGGTTGTGGGCACATCCCTAGTGGGGAGTGTGCAGGAGGCAGCTGATCATTGATGTTTCTGACTCTCTATCCCTCTTTCTTCCTCTCTGTAAAAATCAATAAAATTATGTATTTTAAAAAAGAGTAGATTACTTGGAGAACTTGGTAAAGATGAGTATTCTTAGCAGCCATCCCTGCCCTCACCCCGATTTTAAGAGATTCTGTTTTGGTTTATGTGGGGGCAGAGGTCTGCATGCTAAACAAGCTGCCAGGGCACTTGAAGATGCAGGGGGCTGACTTGCTTGTTGGCCATCTAAAGCCCAAGTGGAACCTGTTCCTGCTGAAGCTTGCCTTTTCTCCTCATCCAGGAAGCCTTCCAGGCTTGCCTCCACCTGGTCTGGATCCCCTTCTCTCCCCGCTCACACCCCACATATTCAGTTTGCTGGTGAAGGTTTTGCCATAGAAGTCTTGAAAGCAGGTGCTCTTTGTGCTCGGTGAAGACAGAAATGGCTGCATTGGGGCAAAGGATAAAGGACCTTCACTTCTGGGCCTGAGGAATAAATTATATCTGCAGTCTCTCACGTGGGCGGGAGATATATTATATAAATTATACATTATATATTATATAAATTATATCTGTAGTCTCTCACGTGGCCGGTGCAGTAGTGAGTTCCCTGGGAGCCTGGAAAATGCCCTCTCGTAGGTACCTTCCTGGTGCATATGCCCATGTGCCCGTGGAGGCCACGGCTGTTTCTGGCTGACGTCGCCCTAGGCGATGCCCACGGGCACCACGGGGCTGGTCCGGGTCCTCCCCACCCAGTCAGCACCCTCTTCTTCCCATGATGGAGGCGCCCAGCTCCCTGCACACGAAGACCAGAACTTTTCCGCGCGGACCCCTCCCTCTGAACGGTGCCATTGGCTAAAGACGCCCTGTGCGTCTTGGTTCCCAGGCTTCACAGACTCGGTTTGTGCCCAGAAACACGTCCGTATCAAACCGATGTCGGCCGATCAGAGGCTCCGGGAAAGGCCTGGAGGGAGCGGGCCGCCCCGAGGAATGCTGAGGCGGCGGATTCTGCCCGGGGCCGCTGTTCGGGTGACTCATCAGCTCCTCCCGTGTCGGGTCTGTCGGCGCAGGTCCCTCCGTGGAAACCGGGGGCCTCTGTAGCTGGGGAGGCCGGCGTGGCCGCCTCTGGGCGCCGGACGGAGGGGCAGGGGTTCTGCAGAGGTTAGTCCGACCGCAGCCTCTCCCCGGGGCTCCGGGAGGCTGCCCCACGCCCGGGGGGGTTGGAAATACCTCTCCCGGGGTCTGATGTCCATGGCTTTCCCACCCGTGTGCTTCCTTTGCCTGAAACGTGGGCCCTCCGCCTCATGCTGCTGTAGCGATGCCCTTCCCCCGTGGTCTGCAAACTGCGGCTCGCGAGCCACAGGCGGCTCTTTGGCCCCTTGAGGGTGGCTCTTCCACAAAATACCACGGCCTGGGCGAGTCTATGTTGAAAAAAGTGGCGTTAGGAGAAGTTTAAGTTCAAAAAATGTGGCTCTCCGAAGAAATGTCAATCGTTGTACGGTTGATACTTGGCTTAGTGGGCTGATGAGTTTGCCCACCACTGCCCTTCCCGTCCCGTCCTTCTCCTTGGCCTGAGAAGCCTGCGTGGGGCGGGGCAGGAAGGAGCACCCCTGCCTGCCCAGCGCTCCCCTCAGATAACCCGTTGGGGGTTTTGGCTGGATCGTGCTTTTGAGCCATCGATGGCATATGACCCGGGATGGACACCTTTGCCTCTGGGGAAGGATGCTGCTGCGAACGTGGCTGCAGAGAGACCTGTCCCCGCTTTTGGTTCTTCTGTGTTCGAACCAGACGCGGGGGCGCGGGGTCAGGTGGCCATTCCGTGTGGACCTCTCTGAGGAGCCGCCATCCCGTTTCCATGGCAGCCGCACCGGTTTCCGTCCTCACGGCCAGTGCTCAGCGCTCCAGCCTCTCCGTGGCCTCGCCCACATCGTCTCACTTTCATACAGTGGCCCCCGTGGGTGGGCCGTGGCCCCCGACTAACGGCAAAGGCAGGCTGACCAGGACGGTCAGAGGCTTTTCCGGGGACATTCCAGGAGCCCGTGGGGGGGGCTGCCCACTCAGCCCCGAGTGCCCAGGGGCCCAGGAGCAGCAGAGGGCACCTGGGGGCACCGGCTCCCAGTCTGCCGCCTCTGTCCTCCCTAAAGTAAAAGGTCTGGTGTTCTAGCATGTTCTGCAGGTCCTCACGACGTGCTGGGAGGGGGTTCATGGGCCTCGGGGACCCACCGCGTCCGCACCACGCTCTGTACCCCCTTTTCCTCTGCTCCCGGCCTTCCCCACCGGGCGGGAGGAGAGGGACCACGCCCGGGACCCACCGTACATGAGCCTCTTTCTCGTTTTTTTTACCTTTTTTTGTCGCGGTATTTCTTTCTATTTTTACACCAAAGCAGCAAGAAGCGAGCGGGCCTGTGGCCGGGTGCCAGGACGGACCCCGTGGCCTTGTGGGGGGTGGGGGGGAGGGCGGCGGGGAAGGGAGAGGGTGCCCGGGGCGACCCGGCCCTGAATTCCCACCAGACCTGCCTCCTGGCCCCAGGGCCACGCTGGCGGAAGCCTCTGGGAATCTCCGGGGATCCGTGGCCGCGGGCAGGCCCGCTGGGGAATGTGGATGTTTGGATTTTTCATTAAATTTCTTACGTGGAGAGCAGGACTGTGGTTAACCAGGATGGTCCCGTCCTCACTCCGCCCTCGCCGATCCTGGAATTGCCCTCTTCACCCCTTTCCGCCGCCTGCTTCTTTCTTTCTTTCTTTCTTTCTTTCTTTTTCTTTCTTTCTTTCTTTCTTTCTTTCTTTCTTTCTTTCTTTCTCTTCTCTCTCTCCCTCTCTCTCTCGCTCTCTCTCCTTCTCTCTCTCTCCCTCCCTCCCTCCCCCCTCCCCCCTCCCTCCCCCCCCCTCCCTCCCTCCCTCCGCTCCCTCCCTCCCTTCCTTCCTTCCTTCCTTCCTTCTTTTCCTCCCTCCAGGATATTTTCCCATTGATTTCTGAGAGAGTGGAAGGGAGGAAGGGGAGGGGGAGGTAGAAACATCCACGTGAGAGAGACACATGGACGGTTCGCCTCCCGCACGTGCCCCGACTGAGGCCGGGAACCTGCCACCGCCATACGTGCCTCGGACTGGGGATAAAAGCCGGACCCTTGAGTCCAGGGACCGGCGCTCTAACCACTGAGCAACCGGCCTCTTACCCCACGTCTCTCCCCTCCCCTCCTGGGCTATGGTTGAACCCGGCTCGTCCTCCCTCTTCCAAACCCCTTCTTGCCACCCTGTTCTGGGGTGTAGGCCCCTTGGACGCCGACTTGGCACCGTCCCCAGCAGCATTTGCTGTCACCGGCCCCTTACGCTGTGCCCCGGCCCTGTGCCTTCCACATCCTGGGTCGGGGTCCAGGATATACGACGTGCTGAGCAACGGCGTTATGTTAGGAAGCAGAGGGGAGCCAGCCCCTCGCTGGCCCGGGCAGGCCGTTCCAGAGTTTCCCTCCGCCCCTGCAGGGCCTGCCCGCGGGCATTGTCATTTCTGACCTCGGAGGCTGGGATGCGCCTGGAGCCCGAAGCTGGGAGGACGGTGCCAAGGTCTGGCCGTGCCCCTCGCCGGGGCCTGTGTGTCTTTGTGCCAGTGGCTCAGCCTCTCTGTGCTCCCTTTCTCGCCGGGAAGGACCGGTGTTTGCAGGTTGCTGGATTTTAGTGGCCAGTTCCAGAAGAGCCGTTTCTAACCTTTTGAAACGGTTGAGGTTTTGGTGGTGCCTGTGACTGAAGGCCAGGGGCTGGGCTTTGGGTGAGCTGTTGGCTCTCTGGTTTTCTCCAGTTCTTCTCACTGTAGGTTTACTTTCCCGGTTGAAGTGGGGTGCGGCGTGGGGGGTGGGGGTCGGAGGTCTCAGGAGCCTTCGCAGGCCTCCTGCTCCTGCAGACCCAGCGAGAGGCCGGCTCTGTGTCCGCGTCCCTGAGGGCGGACCCGGGCCTGCCCCGTGCCCAGTGGGTGGACGTGGGGACGGCCCTCCTGTGGCCCCGAGCCTCACGCCTGGGTCTGTGGGGCCCGCGTCCCTCCCTGGAGCCCCCGGGGTTTGTGCAAAGGGAAGCGGAGGCCCTTAGGAGCCTGGATGGATGGAGGGAGGTGACGCCACACGTGGACTCTGAATGGATGGGCTGCGTGCAGGGTGAACCCTGCAGTGCGTGGTGGGGGCAGGGAGGCCGTCTGTCCGCCTTTGTGGACCTGGTGCCTCGGAGAGCCAGTGCAGGGGCCGCCAGTGCCCGGCGAACGTTGGCGAACGAATGACCCGCGACGGCCCTCTCCCCCCTCTGCTGCCCCTCGGAGCCCCACAGTCCGTGCTCCAGGGAGCGGGCACGTCGGCTTCTGCGTCTCTGAGTCCAGCCTCGCAGTCGTTGGCCCACGAATGGCTTCTCGTCCACCTGCGCTGAGCAGTTGTTACTGGAATAGCAATGTACGTGTTTTTGTTTTGTTTTTTTTTTTTTTTGTGTGTGTGTGTGTGTGTTTTAATATGTTTTTCCTGATTTCAGCCAGAGGAAGGGAGAAGGGGTGAGAGAGAGAAACATCAGGGATGAGAGAGAATCGTGGATCAGCCGCCTCCGTTTCGGGATGGAGCCTGAAATCCGGGCATGTGCCCTGACTGGAAGACCAACTGCCACCTCCTGGTCCATGGACTGGTGCTCCGCCCCTGAGCCACGCCGCCCGGCTGGAGCAGCACTCAGGCCGGGCGGGAGGAGCACTCTGAGGCCGGGCGGGAGGAGCACTCTGAGGCCGGGAGGGAGGAGCATTCTGAGGCCGGGCGGGAGGAGCACTCTGAGGCCGGGCGGGAGCAGCACTCTGAGGCCGGGCGGGAGGAGCACTCTGAGGCCGGGCGGGAGGAGCACTCTGAGGCCGGGGGGGAGGAGCACTCTGAGGCCGGGCGGGAGGAGCACTCTGAGGCCGGGAGGGAGGAGCACTCTGAGGCCAGGAGGGAGGAGCACTCTGAGGCCGGGAGGGAGGAGCACTCTGAGGCCAGGAGGGAGGAGCACTCTGAGGCCGGGCGGGAGGAGCACTCTGAGGCCGGGCGGGAGCAGCACTCTGAGGCCGGGCGGGAGCAGCACTCTGAGGCCGGGCGGGAGGAGCACTCTGAGGCCGGGCGGGAGGAGCACTCTGAGGCCGGGGTGGAGGAGCACTCTGAGGCCGGGAGGGAGCAGCACTCGGAGGCCGGGAGGGAGGAACACTCGGAGGCCGGGAGGGAGCAGCACTCGGAGGCCGGGAGGGAGGAACACTCGGAGGCCGGGAGGGAGCAGCACTCGGAGGCCGGGGTGGAGCAGCACTCTGAGGCCGGGAGGGAGGAGCACTCTGAGGCCGGGCGGGAGCAGCACTCGGAGGCCGGGGTGGAGCAGGACTCTGAGGCCGGGTTGGAGGAGCACTCGGAGGCCGGGCTGGAGCAGCACTCTGAGGCCGGGAGGGAGCAGCACTCGGAGGCCGGGCGGGAGGAGCACTCGGAGGCCGGGGTGGAGCAGCACTCTGAGGCCGGGCTGGAGCAGCACTCTGAGGCCGGGAGGGAGCAGCACTCGGAGGCCGGGCGGGAGGAGCACTCGGAGGCCGGGCGGAAGCAGCACTCGGAGGCCGGGGCGCCTCCCGCAGCCTGAGCTGCTCCCACCAGCGGTGCTGGCCCCCTGCTCCGCCTGCGGAGGCCAATGGGGTCCATTTCTGATGGGAAGCTCGGTTGGTGCTGGGAGGGGCCGAGGGGCTGGTGTCCGCTCCTCGCCTGGCTCCCGTGTCTGGCAGCCCGGGGAGAAGACTGAGCACACGAGGGCCTACTATTCAGATGGTTATAAACTGATACAGCCGGGACTGGTTTGGCTCAGTGGAAAGAGCATTGGTCTGCGGACTGACAGGTCCCGGGTTCGATTCCGGTCAAGGGCATGTACCTTGGTTGCGGGCATGTCCCCAGTTGGGGGTGTGCAAGAGGCAGCTGATCGATGTTTCTCTCTCATCGACGTTTCTAACTCTCTGTCCCTCTCAATTCCTCTCTGTGTAAAATCAATAAAATACATTAAAAAAAAATAAAAATAAAAAAAGAATTAAAAAAAAGTTAGATACAGAGACAGTAAAGCAACAAACAGACTGTCAAATTACAGCGGGGAGGGTAGGGAGATATGGGGGAGATAAGAGATCCACCGAAGGACTTGTATGCATGCATATAAGCAAAACGAATGGACGCAAAACTCTGGCGGGGGGGGGGGCATGTATGAGAGTGGGGGGTGGCAATGGAAAGATATGTACACATATAATACCTTAATAATAATAATAAAAAATGACCAAAGGCAAACCAAACCTTTCAGCCTCGTAAAAAAAAAAATAAAAAAAAAAATATATATATATATATATATATATATATATATATATATATTTTCAGATGGTTCCACCGCGTTCCCACGTTCATGTGGACCAGCATCACCCCAGACCGGACGAGGGCCTGTAAGACATCCAGACATCCTCGCCCCCTGAGCTGCATCCCCATCGGCCACTGTACACCCCGCCCTGGGCACAAAGAACCGTTAGAGGTGATGATTGGAGGGGGGACACGGGAGCCGGGGTGGCCTGGAGGTTGGGGCAGGGGGGCTGTGTCCCATGGCTGGGACTGACCCTGAGACTCCCCTCCCTCTTTCTTCTTCTCCCCGCCAACGCTGTGTCCATGGCGGAGGAGTGGACTGTCGGCTGGCACTGCGCCGTGTCCTGGCCCTGACGTGGCTGGGCTGGATTGGGGAGGACAGTTTCCATGTTCCGTCCAGGAGGCCCAGCCCACGGCCGCCGCCTCCTCCGCGGTGTGGAATCCGCCGGCTGTGTATGTGACTTACTTCGAGGTGGCGTGTGCACTCCGTGTGCGGGGTGAATGGGAGGGACCAGCCCCAGGAGACTCCGTGGACCTGAGTGGAGGAAAGACCAGGTCAGGGGCAGGGTGTGTGGGCAGAGAAGGCAGTGAGGTCAGCCCGTCTTCTCCAGGGTCTGCCTGTGCCTGCCTCAGCGCGTTCTGCCCTGCGACCTGCTAGCGGCTCCTTCCTCGTGGCCGTGTGGTTCTCCTCCCCCACCCAGAGCACGCTGGGCGCCACTCTCTCGGGGCGTAGGACACAGCCTCCAGCATTGCCTGCGGTTGCCCAGGTTGTGCCTGAACAAACTGACCAATGGAGGGCCTCTAGTTTTGCAACATTTTCATGGTCAGCCAATCGTTTTCTTCCCTGAGCTTCTATAGAGGAAACAACCTATAGGATTTCATTTCATTATTAAGAGAGACGCCCAGCTGGGTGTGGCTCAGGAGTTGAGCATTGACCTATGAACCAGGAGGTCATGGTTCAATTCCTGGTCAGGGCACATGGCTGGGTTGCAGGCTGGATCCCCAGTGGGGGAGCAGGGGGCAGCTGGTCAATGATTCTCTCTCATCATTGATATTCCCCTCTCTGTCTCTCTGTCTCTCTGTCTTTCTCTCTCTCTCTCTCTCTCTCTCTCTCTCTCTCTCTCTCTCTCTCTCCCCCCCCCTCCTTTCCCTCTCCCTCTTCCTTTTCCTCTCCCATCCTCTCTGAAATCCATAAAAAAAGATATTTTAGAAAGGCTTAGATAACCACCATGACTATGTCACACGCACGCATCTCTGTTCTTCAATAAAAGCAGAGGGTGCATTGCTGGTGTCGGAGCGCCTGGCTGGTGCTGACCGTAAAGACAGCATGCGTATTCGGGGCCGGCAGGGCGAGAGCCCATGCCTTCCTGCCGTGTCCGGGCTGCGTGGCCGTGGACGCTGGGGCCACGGACCCTGCTGCACTGTCCCGGCTCGGTCCATCGGAAAAGCAGCTCCGCGTCCCGCCTCCGAGGGGTTGCTGGTCTCTGCTCCGAGCGGTCCGGAGCATCATCGCACGTTTCTCTCCCTTGTGCCCCCAAATGGGGGCTCAGCCCCGAACTCTGCTCCCCCTACCCCCGTTTCAGTGCCCTCACTTGCCTCGAGGCACTGGGCAAGTTCCCCCCCATCTCGGGGCCTCCGTGTCCTCCTGCGTGCCTCAGGTGTACGCTCGCTGACCCCGGATCATTCCCGCGGGGAGGGGCGTCCGGTGTGTCCCCACTCTCTGCGGGTGACCTTGAGCGACGCAGCAGAGGAAACACCGGCCATTCCTGGGGCCCCGCCGCTCCCCACCGCTCCCCGCTTTTTCTGCCGCTCCCTCCGCCCTCCATGCCTGGAGAAGGACCCCTCAGACATCAAGGAAGTGAACACTCGGGCCAGCCTCTCGGCCATCTTTATAAAACACCTGTGACCTCCGGGAGGTCGTCAGCAATCTGCTCAGGCGACCTTGTACCGACATCAGCAGCCCAGAGTCCATTCCCTCCCCGCCTGAGGCTGGAGGGACCTTTTTTTAGTTAAGGGCCTTGGGGCGCTCTGCCTCCCCCTTTTCCAGGATGAAATTTGGACTCAGACCCCCTTCGAAGGCGCGATCACTCCGGGCGGGCGGCGGAGGGGGCCTTGGTGGAGGTGGAAGTGAGACTGTCCTGGCTGCGGCCGGTCAGGGCCTGGGTTGGTCGGTTGGGAGGCTGAGGGCAGCTGCAGGGGAGCAGCCGCCCTGAGTGCTGCTCCGCGGGGCGCCCGTCCCCGGCTTGGGGCCGAGATCCTTGTTTCCATCTGAATTGTTCTGGGGAGCGAGCAGTCCTCCCTGCGCCCCCTTCTCCTTCCCGCCCCAGCCGCCCTCCCCTCCCCTCCTCCTAGGGGAAAAAATAACCCTGCCCCCGTCCGCATCCGTGTCTTTAAGAATTCCCTCCATT